TTTAAATACCAATTCCCCCCCCCCCCCCTCTTGGTTAACCTCGGGACTAGTTCTTAAGGGCTTAACATCCCTAATGATCTTTCAGATGAATAATAATATTTATTGAATTATTTCATTCTTCCTTAAATATTTTATATGTTATTTTTGTCTGTGAGTATTAATATTTTATGGAGAATACACACTGCTCAAGACTAATGAAGACTCAAGACTGAGTAAAAAGGATGTGAAAAAGTTTGTAATTTTATTTTCTTTATTTTTTCATTTCTTGAGTCTGGCCACAAAAGAGTGTATGCAGATTAAGTGATCATGTACACACATAGGGGGAGAGTTTTTTTAGGTCCAAATTATTTTTCTATAGATTATACTTTACTATTTTAAATCATAATGTATGATTTTAAATCAATTTGTATGATAGATTATTAGGAAACAGACTTAATGGCTAATTGGAAATGTTAGTTTCTATGAACTAATCATATTGTATAATCTCGATCGTATTGTATAATTTATTTTCAACCTCAAACCCTAGTCGCTAGATTAATTTAAGTAAGATTTTAAATTTTAAATTTTGAACACATCATACTTTACGATGTCAATTGTACTATACAAAATTTAAAATCATGCTAAAATTAACCCCCATGAATAGTCAATTAAATCATAGTTTAATTAATGATTGATAATCATATTATACGAATAGGATCGTACCATACGATGAGAAGTGATGAAATTTAGTAGTACCAAATATCTTACCAAATGAAACTTTAATTTTTGAACTTATCATACTATATGATGAATACCTCATACAGAACGAACTGCATAAACTCAACTATCCATAATGTATGATTGAACAGTGAGGGACGATGAACAAAGATGACTTTCGACCGTCTTAGTGTTCATCCCGTACAAAATAGAAGATATAAGGTATATCATATTGGATGATTTTATTATCGTATTGTATGATGTATTAAAATATTGTGATCTATTCATCCTCCTTCGTACTAGGATGGGAGTTATTTTGAAATAATCATATTGTATGATTTTGTATCATATTGTACAAATAGTAATGGCTAATTTGAATTTTTAGTGTTTCTTGAAGCATATTATAAATATAATGGTTTATTTATTAAGAAAAAAGAGAGGGAAAGGTGTAGCTGAAGGAACTATGGAGAGAGAACTTTTGAAGAGATTCAAGGCTTGTGAGAGGAAGGAGAAGGTGAGCTTGAGCGTGAGGGAGAAGTAGTGTGAGGGGATCACATAAATGCTCTGAGCTAGCTACACACTTGCTCCTCATGTGGTCTTAGTGAGTTTGGTGGGAGCTCTCTAGGAAGATAGGCTTCTAGGTCAAAGTCCTCGAGGTTCTCTTCCTTCTCCAGAAGGAATAAAAATGAGAAGGTCTGCTGCCATCATCGGGAGGGTGACATAGCGTCTGACACTCCGCCACACTAGAGAAGGTGAAAGTGAGTTTTGTAAAGGCTTCTCCACCTTATTGTGGGAGCAAAAGGAGATTCCCTTTCAAGAAAAAAACTTGTCCTCACACAATAGGTCGAGTGAGCTCACTTCGGAGGCAAAAGAAAATAATATAAATTTAAATTTTGATTTATAATGACTAAATGCTTTATTTTCAAACTTAGATTTTTATTATAATTTTATTCTTGTCTATCAAGGATAGATTACAATTATGGAAAATCAATAGGATGCACAAAGATGGGACATGGTCATCTAAGGATGCGATGTAGTGATGGTTACAAATATATATTTATAATAATTTCTTTTAATTAGTTCTTCAATAAATTTAATTATATGTAATTTTAATGTAGACGCAAGCATGTAATCTTCTTGTTGAGGAAGGGCTTACACCTGAAGAGAGAAACATTGAAGCTAATGAGAGAGTCTTTAGTACAATTATGGGGCTAGAACATTCAAGTTGAGTTCGTACCTAGGGATTTGGTGTCACACCGACCAGATACTTTCCTCAAAGTATGAAGCAGGTGGTGATAGCAGTAGCAACTTTGCTCAGATAGCTAGTCTTAGAGAGGAGTTCATATCATTTAGTGATGAGATAAAAGAGTTCACCTTAGTTCGTGATAAGATGAGGCAATTTATCCAATAATTTTAGATGAATCAACCACCACATCAAGGATCTAAAATGGTTTGAAAAAAATATGTATTTTAATGTAAATTATAAATTATTTCATTTAAGTGTCTCATTATTTTCAAACAATTTTTTAGGGTGGTAATGACAATTCATCATATGTAAGGCAGTCTTTAAAAATTTTGAGTTTGTTCTATTGATAAGCTCTAATTGATATTCTATGTATTTTTTTAACTTATGTTTTGATGAACTTCGTGATATTTTTGAACTTATGTTCTTTTAATGAGCTTTGCGATGCTTATGAACTATGATGGATCTTTTATGTATTTCGTGCTTTGTTGTTTATGTATTTTTTGTGTTTTTTTAACTTAACTTTATTTTGCTGTGATGTTGATGTTGATGTTCCACATTTAAAAACTCTTGTTTATAAAATTCTTCGATGGAGGTTGACTTGGAGTGTGATTTTAGAAGTTGAATAGAATGTTCAAAAAAAATGAAAGAGACTGACAGATTTGTCATCCCATTTTGGAGATTTATAGTCACGAATTAGGCATTCCAGTCATCTAGGGTTATTCTTGCAAGGACGATCTAGCTATAGCTCACAAATAATATGCAGAGACTTGGTTTAGGATCAAAGGAAACCAGTGGGTGATATTCTAAAATCTTTAACATTAAGAATATTGAACTCCTTGTAGTGCTTTTTTTTATTATAAGTTATACATTGTTAACAATATTGCTTATTCATTTTCTTATGGAGAGAAGTGTTTAATTGTTAACATTTCATTAGCATGTTAACAATATTGCTTATTCATTTTCTTATGGAGAGAAGTGTTTAATTGTTAACATTTCATTAGCATTGAATTCAAATGATGCTTGGTTGTTATTATTGAGTTGTAGTTTGAGAGGCCTTTTGTTAGTATTTTGATTGCTAATTGAATATATCACTTTATTCATTCTAAGTCAAAACTATCGTTCTACGTGATTGTTTTAGAACATGTGAGATTTATGGTTCAATTGGTAAAAATGTGCCTGCAAATAGCGATGTTGTGTCTATTGAGCATCCAAATGAAAGAAACAGTGCTTGATCATTTCGATTCTGCATTTTTTAAAAAAAAAGTAATTGCAACTAATGATCTATTTGAGACGACATCATCGCTATAATTATAAAAGTAATTGCAAAATTAACATGAAAAAAAAAAAATCTTTTTATAAAGCTATGATAAGAAGTAACTTTCTACTACATAAATTTTTTTAAAATAATAATAATCAAACAAAAACTATAATTATAATTTTAAAATACTAATAATAATAAACTGTCCCAAATAAATCCTAAGTCATACTAAATTGAGCTAAAAAGTCCAGGAAATTGTTCAGGATAAGACTTTATTTTAGAAATGTTATTTAAATCAAAAGTATTCAACTGAATTCTTTGCCTGTGGGTATTTTGCCTCATCTCATTTAATAATGAACACCACTGGCTGTGTGGCTCAGTTACATAGCCACTTTTCTCTTAATATGAATAGAAGTCACGATTCAACAAAAAGAGAAAAAGGAGGGCAGAACTGTTCCTGCTTAAATAATTCTACGCATTACTTGTTCAATCGTAAGCCACATTTAATAGCTCTTAAATGGCTGTTCACCATATACAGTGCAGTACATGAACAGGCACTTTAGCATTTGTGACAACAGATAAACTTAGCAAGGATCAGTATTCTTCAACAAAACACTCAAAATAGTCAGTTTGTCCCCATTGAATTAAGTTTCTACAAATAACCACTGATTTCTACAAAAGCTAACCCGTCTAAGAACTGTAAGCTAATTCCCCAAAAGACAAGCCTATAATTGAAGCATGAGTGTAAGTAATACATCTTTCATCTCCAAAATAGGCACTCCTTCGAATTCCTTCAGATTTTCTTTCTGATAGAGCTGCTGTCAAATATTGGCCTTTTACCATAACAAGAATAATAGGAATTTATAGTTAGAACATAAATAACACTCAAATTTAAAAGATACTTGAGCAGCAAACAAAAAAAAAACATCATGAATTAATTATCTTGATAAAATCTAAATCTCATTCAATTTGAGCATTGGTCATATAATTATAATTCTGAATATTCTATCTTATCTTCCAAATATAAATTACATCAGAATATTCTGTAATAATTTTATTCAAAATATTATACCATTTATTTTCTGGTTTCTTGCCCAACATATGAGCTCAGGTCAAGATGTGTATCGTTGTATCTCTGGCACATGTATGCAGCACATGTTATCGGGGGATACCTAAAGACAATTAGTCAGAAGGATAGTAAAGAGGTGTCTTCTTTAACATAAAAGGAAAATAGAATAAGAAACAAAAGTAAAGAGAATCAAAGAACGGCAAACTGAATTAATCATGAAAGACCTATAAAACTAAAATCAACTATTCTGGAAAAAAACAAAGTTGTGTACTTGGGTGGGTTCATCTCAGAAGTGCAGGATGGCAAACACTCCACAAGGCATTCATGATTTGGGTCCGCAAAAAATGCTATCTGTTGAAATGAGGAGAATAGAAATTAAAAAGTAATGGAGTAAACTTTCCAAGAAATATAATCCACATGAATCCAAATTATCCTATATGTAGTAAAAATAAACATCTAACAACATTTTCTTTCCACAAGTTCAGCAATAATACAAAGAGTAAAATTGTGTTTTCAACATAGCGAGGAGAAAACTAAAATCATACAAAGCTACGCACATCACATAAATAAAGAAAAAGATAAAAGACATGAAAATGTGCTAGTTACAGAAAGCTGCAAAATCTAAACAACCTAATATAATTTCTTCAAGGAAGAGTAATTGAATATTCGCTGCATAAATCAACAAAAACTGATCATTCATATGTTAGAGAACGTTGAAAAACCCCTCCCTAAACCTACATGGTATATATATCAAAGGGATGACATAATTTTACAGAAATCGAACTTTATATATTCCATACCCTCGCTTGCAAATATTGAGAGATTACAAAGTACACATTCACATTAGTTGCAGAACTGTTTGAATCTGTAATATGATTAATAGGTTTCAGAGCAGTGCTATTGAGTTCTAGACCCACAGTCATAAAGAGTCCGAATTTAGTGGAGTATAAAATTTGCCATTCAAAATCTTTGGATTTACTTAGTAGCATGTTACCCACTTTTTTTGAACTGCACTGTTTTGGACTAAATAGTATTTTCCAAGGTTCCATTTTAGTGGCGACACAAACTTCCTTAGCAATGCTTTCCAGATCTACGAAGCTAAGGTTGAAGGACAAAGCTTAATAACACATAAATATATGACCAGCTCAATAGGACATCATTTGAAACAACACAATTAAGAACACAAGTAAACCTAATTCCAAAATATTATGGTGTGACTAAGGCCCCGTTCGGGCAATGCATTTTAACTGAGGCCTAAAAATTTTCACATTTACATTCTGCTTTCCGCAATCGAAAGATATCTCACACAATCTAATTGCTTTTAGTGGTTCTGTATGGTAAAAACCATAAATACCCTTACTCTTATGCTGAAAATTTCTACCTCCATCTTTCCAAGCAATTTTGATTTTTTCCTTTCTAGTGGAATGGTTGGCTGAGAGAGAAATAGACTGGGAGCTGCGATTTTGAGTGAGCAACTAATGTAGAGTAGCTGGGCTTCGAGAGAGCAGCACATGGAAGTGCAGTGGAGATCGAGTACCTGGAAGAGAGAAGTGTACGAGTTCGGCTCAAGGAAGAGGAGAGCTCGGAGAGAGATGGTGGATTTGAGCGGGTTTGCTGCAGTTTGCGAAACAAAGGAGAGAACTGCTATTTGGCTTGTAGGTTGGGAGAAACGTGACGTCTGTGAGGCATGAGAAAGAAGTGGCGTGTAGTAGCTATGTCCATGGAGATCAGCAAGTGGAGTGGTGTATAGTTTTTTCTTTTATTATCCAACATGGAGGTCTGATTGCACAGGGATAACAGAAGGAATGAGGGATTTGATACAAAATAGAATTATATATATATAATTTTAAAATATGTTATTACAAATAAAATAAAAATAAGAAATGTGAACCGAATTGTCTAAATATCAGAGGTTCTAATTTTTTTCATATTATTTTAAGGTATGATAGTACTTTGTCAACAAAAATTTATTATACTTTTATTTAAAACTAATAAAATATTTGTTAAAATTGAATGCGGGTTTAAATTAAAATTGTTAATTTGTTATAATATTCAGTTTAAAAATTTTGACATTATAAATAATTTTCTTTCATCTCAAAATATATAAGCGTATCAAAGTAATTTGCTCTCATACAATTACAACACAACTGCTCGATAGTTATACTCCCCAAATAAAATATGCTGATTTTTATACAACAACTTCAGAAAGCAACTTTCTATACAACTACTTCACACCCTACTTTACCTATAGTTGCAGCCATCCCAAATGAATCCTAAGGCTTCATTTGTGACATCATTCTTACTATTTTTTAAACCAAATTTTTAGTACAAAATTATCTAGTACAAAAATTTCTTGAACTAGAACTTTTTGTACTAGAAAGCCGCAAGAGAGCTGTCCCAAACAAAGCCTAAAACAACTGCATTTTTTGTTAAACAAAATAATAGTGGAGTGATGGGTCTTACAGAATAGCGTTCTTGTCCATCTAATACAACACGGTGCAGTGTCGATCTGCACACAAATATAAACATTATGAAAACTATATTTAAGTGACAAAGAATTAAGGCAATGTTATAACTTCTAAGTCAAAAAACACTACATTAAAAGTGTAATTTTGAGATTATTTTTGCTAAAATCAAACAAAGGAGCAAAATCGCTAAAAAATTATGTTAGTGAAGAATCATGGGAATCTATAGAACCTTTATAACAACATTAATTTTTTATCCTACTATGCGGGGTTGGCTATATGAATCAATTTTCTCTAATTGTCCTGTTAAGAGTCAAAATCTTTAGAACCTTTGAAGTCCTAAAATGTGATGAATTTATAGGCCTATCCTGAAGAAATAATTTCGTATATATAACAGAAACATAACATTATGACATGAAATTGGACATTAATGCAGAATTGGAAAGCTTATCTTGTCCGTGACTAAATATTGAAGACTACCTTTGATATTCAATAGCAACCGTTTAATAAAATGAGAGAGATTTGAAAAAGAAAAACAACAACAGTAAGGTAGAGTGATACCTGAAAACATCATTACTCAACCGCTCGAGCATATCACCAAGATTGACAATGAAACCTCTGGAATGCAAAAAATCATGTGTCAAAGTAAACAAATGATATTGTAGCAACTCTAGTTTGATAATAGCAAGGAGAGGGAATAAAACCAATTAAATTCTACATTCACATTCTATATTCCTGAATTACACGGATTATTATCTTTTCTTCAGAAATGCACAAAAGAAAATCAAGATACTTGAGTTCTTTACATTGAAAGCTCAACACTACTACTAAATTGCTGAATTTACTGTAAAAGTAAGAATATGCAGTATGAATAAGCAACGTTCAGCTAGAATTTCACTCTCAGAATCTGGATTCTAGCAGAGGGCCAACACACAGTCAATTCGTTCAGATTTAAGGTGGTGGCACTTCAAAACAAGCTCAAATGACAAGGGATGAAATATAGTTTCCCAGCTTGAACATGGAGAATGACTCTAATGAGGTTCATATTAGTATCCTAATGTCGACCAAGCAACACAGAAGAAGTACAAGCAATGGAAAGTTTCCTAATTGTAGAAGAGAGACTAACCCTTTCAAAGGAGCAACATATTCCCATATCCGAGGTTTGGCATCCTTATCCTTGCATATCTAGAGTGAGTAGGACACAAAGTATTAATATCACTAATGAATTAACAAGACAAGACAAGGGGCATTCTACAGTGACAAAAATTTCCTATGTTACCTGAAGACCGGCCACATCATCAGTGGCCAAGATAGTAATCAAGCCAAAATCAGAATGTGCTCCACATCCATATATTCCACTTGCAGGATTAGAAACTTTACCTGAATTTCATGATAAATAAAGACTTAATCCGCACACATCGCATAAATGATCAAGCAAAATGGACATCAGGAGAGCAACCAAAAAAAATCATGTGAAGTGACGCAATCACCTTCATAGTGAAGAAGCCTCAATGTTGCAATGGGCACACCAAGCATTTGTGGTTTATCAAAGAAATCAGCATCTAAATCAAGTGCAAGAGCAATAATCTTAGCAATTTCCCTGGACACTCTCCTGTAAAACAAGTGAAAATAATCTCTGAATCTTAAGATACGAAATGTAAACCAATGCATCCTTGTTTGTACAATAGCATGTTAGCATTCCTTTAGCATATCAAAGTATGTTCAAAGGAGGCTTAAATGAAAGAAAAACCACACAACAATAGTTGATTACACGACCAAAAGACTAGCACCAAAAAGAGGCCCACATCAAACCCATCCCATGCTCCAGCTAATTAAGCTGGAAAAGTTAATATGATTTAGTTAAAAGGTTAAACTTCAAAATAGTCCCCCAACTTTTTGTTTATGACCAGTTTAGTCCAAGAGGATAATGTTGCTCTAATTTAATCTCTTATCATACAAAATTGATCCTAAATGGTCTCTTTGGGACTAAATTGGGATCAATTTTATATAATAATTACAACATGAGAAACCATTTTAGATCAATTTACTAAATTGGGAGGAACGAGATACTTTGAGATTAGTTTGTCACGGATAAATAGTTTGCGGATTATTTTGAAAATTTTCTTTAGTAAAATTTCAACTGCAAATATAAGCATATAAATTTAAAATTGTCCAAAGTAGGATGAAAACATTGCTAATTCGGACCTCTTCTATGTCTCTAGCAATTTGAGAGATTCCACTGATAGCCTTTCTCCATGGCGGCAATCCTCCTACAGCTTCTAGGACATCAGTTACCTCGGCATGCCTTTGTAACTACTTCAATTTTAACTTCCTAAACCTCCTTTTGCGATTGTGATTCTTAGTTTCATCTACTCCTTCGATTCCTTTTCCATCACAAACTTCACACACGTCTCTTTACCTCTCACCACTTCCTCTACTTTCATCATCCCTGCTAACATTACAGGATTTGTAAGCATTGTGAGACTTGTGATTGTCTATTTACTCAATACTTACATGTTCTATCTTTGTGCTTTATACATAATTTCTAATTATTTTTTTTCAAACTTCATACACACTAATATTCATTTATAAATCATCTAGCTACATTGACGATTTCGAGCTTAAATTGACATTTTGGAACATATTATGATATGCAAAAGTTCAAGGAGCAAAAATTAGATGTGATCATACACCTGGAAGGGCTTTTGAACTAACAAGCATGATTTTGGCTGCTATGGTGCAATTATGGGTCCGCCATAATACCATGGTTTTCATAAAAAGCAACTGTTCACAAAGCCACGACGTCATGAACATATTCTAGACCATCATGGGCTCCACAAAGAGAGCAACTGAACAGTAATATCATAAAACTATCTCAAAAAAACCTATTTTGGGGGTGATTTTGGAGTGAATTTATGAAATATGAAGTTGAAAACTTTTGGGAAATATGTATGAACAAATTTCTAGAATTTTGGGAGGCTTTTGGGAGGATTTTTGGCTGCACTTTGGAGTAGAGACAAAGAAATGGAGCATGGAGAAATTAGTGAGTACAATGATTTGTTAATGGCACTCCCTCGAAGCAACATGTTGTATGACCTTACAACGAGAAGTGTGCAAGAGCCGTTATACCAACACCTGCATGTAGTGTTAAATAAGCAAAGATTCTCACATCATGGATGAATGTGGGCAAAGAAGCAAGTCCATGAAACTAGAATTAGGATAGGAACCTGAATATGACTATGACTTTGGAGCGACTAATGAAGGGGGTAGGATCATATTAGATTTTGCTATAGCTTGTGATTTTAGAATTGCTCATATTTTATTTAAAAAAAGAAAAAAAAATCTCATCACTTATAAGAATGGATATAGTAAACTCTGCTTATTTTAAAGCATTGCAGGTCTCACCACCATCTTATAGAATTTTCCTTAAGTTTGAGGGGGGCTTTTCTATTGCACAACAAGCCCGATACATTCCTCCACTTCAACCACCCAACTTGAATTCTGCTGATAATATCCCCATCTATTTCACCATCACTCTGAACAATAGATCCAAGATATCTAAAATGTGTACTCTTATTAATGACTTGATCACCCGAAGTCACAATCCCCTCACTAAGTCTATTGCAATTAAAATTACACTTCATATATTCAGAGAAGCATAATACTAAGTTAAGTGTTGCAGAGATGAGGATGCTTAGGTGGATGAGTGGCTTTACCTTTAAAGATAGGATACGAAATCAGCATATATGTGAAAAGGTTGGAGTAGCTCCAATGGAAGATAAGATTAGATAGTGTCGCCTTAGATGGTTTGGTCACATTAAACCGAGGCCTTCCGATGACCCATTTAGGAGGTATTATATTAGACTTATGTTAAGAAAGGTAGAGAGACCTAAAAAGACTTGGTTAGAAAATATTAGAAATGATCTTTCTTTATTAGATTTAAATGAGAATTTGATTTTTAACAGGACACAATGGCGAAAAAGGACTCATGTAGTCGACCCCACGTAGTGGGACAACGGCTTGATGTTGATGTTGTTGTTATTGATTATTTTTTTATAAGAAAAATAGATCGATTAGAATGTAAAGATTGTAAAATCATTCCTAGTGAAAATTTATGTACTCAATATTGCATATTACTTTTGGACTTTAAGATGAAGGGATATTATAAAAAATAAATTAAAATACTTTCGTAAGATTAGATTGGGTCATTTAAAGATTACTAACAAAAATATAAATAAAAATTTAGAGTAAGATTCAAGATTTTAACATTTTGACTGTGCATGACGAAGCTAATGTCATATGAAAGAAAGTAGCTAGTGATATTAAGAATGTTGCAAAACATTTGCTTGGAGTATAAAAAGGAAAATCTCCTAATATTAAAAATAATTGATGGTGGAATCAAAATGTGCAAGAAAATATTAAAAATAAGAAACTTTATAATAATAATTGGGTTAGAAGTAAAAGCTTGAAAATTTGGAAAAATGTATAAAAATAAAATGATAAAGAGTCTAAAAAAATAATATGCGATGAAAAAAATTTAGCTTTTAATATTTTTATATAATAGATTTGATGTTGAGGGTGAAAATTATATATATAGCTTAGGCAAGCAAAGACATAGAAGTAAGAATTTAGTTCAAATAAAGTGCATTAAGAAGGTGATAGGAAATACTTGAGTTCACAAGTAACCCTAAGATAAAACTTGAGTTCGCAAGCAAACCTAACCCAAATCGGTGAATAAACAGCAGCCAAATGGCTGTCCACAACAAGAAAAACACAGCAAACTGCTGTGTACGGCAGTCAAACAGTAGAAATTTAGAGGAAAACTGAAGGAAAACTCAAAGCACAACTTGTATTCCACTAAACGATGAATAAAATAGCAAGATACAATTAATCCTCAATTCGAGAGGAGGATCGATCTCTCCCAAATCTCTAGACGTCGCTAGAGCCCGAAGAAAACCTAAATCTAACAGATGTCAAATTTCAGCCAAATTCAAGATACTCAAACCCTAGGAAAACCAACTATTTAATGCATACAAATCAAAAGGAAATCCCTAAACAGTCCCTACATTCAAATTTCCCTCTCAAAACCCTCAAAAAAGCTTCATAAAATGCTCTAATGGGGCGGTCGGGCCGCTCGATCTCCGTAGGAGGTGGAGATCCCGCGTTATTCGCGAACTGCCGGTCCTGTGCGGACCGGCTGGACCGGTCTAACAATACTCCCCTCCCAAAGATCCACCTTGTCCTCAAGGTGAAAATATGCTCGTGTTCCCGTAGAGGTGGTCATCCTTGAGGTGACTGAAAAACCTTACTGTATTGTTGAACCAAGGGCAGCACGGAAAGAGAAACATCCCCTCCCTCCAATCCAATCGCATCCAACTTGTGTAGTCCCACCACATAATCTTCCCCCACCTCTTATATGCCCATAATCATGGTCTTAAGTGATGTCATGGCTTTGGATAGCCCTGCATCTCCCTTTATAACCACCTTTCTTCCATCCCCCATTAATTTCATCATGAGTGCTCCCCAATTGTCCATCGTTTCCCCCAAAGTTTGCAACCATTTCATTCCCAGAATGACATCGATACTTTCTAACTTTAGTGGGAGAAAATCCTCCCTTACCTCAATCTTCTGGATGGTCAACACCACTCAACTACAGATCCCCTGGCTTTCTCCACCTTTCCTGTACCCATCATCACTCCATAGCAACCGGTGTCCACCAACTTCGCTCCCAATTTGTCAACGACCTGAGTGGAAATGAAATTGTGGGTAGCCCCACTATCACTTAGCACCACCACCTCACAGTCAGCTATCTCTCATTTCACTTTCATAGTGTGACTCGAAGTGAATCTCACTACAGAGTTCAGAGAACTTCTGCCACATCGAGGTGCAACTTCTCCTGCTCGTCAGATCTGCTCCCACCTCCCTCCTCGTCTTCCTCGTCTTCACAGACAAGGAGAACCTTAAGAGTTCGGTCCTTGCACCTATGCCCCGGCATGTACTTTTCATCACATCTGAAGCACAACCCCTTTATCCTCTTATCCTGCATCTCCTTCTCTGTCAGCCTCTTGAAATTTTTCCCACTCCCTCCTACTGGCTTCTCCCTGGTGGTCTCATTAATGTTGCCTGATGCAGGCCGATTGGGTGCTAGAAGAGTGGTCATCGTCCCATAAGATCCCCCTGAATAGTTTTCTCAAGCCCCTCTTTCTGATTTCTTCTGATCTTCCACCAACTGCGCCAGCTCCATAACCTTCCCTAGGTTCCTCGGCTCCAGCATCCTGACTGTTGTTCGTATCTCAGGTTTAAGCCCCTTCATGAAGTTCCCTTTCAGGGCTGACTCTAAAATGTCATCTAATCTACTAGCCAAGTATGCAAACCTATCCCGGTAATCTGCCACAGTCCCCTCCTGAGTCAAGGAAAAGAATTGCTCATAGAAGTCTCCTTTCACATCGGCTCGGAAACGCTCCAATAAGCAATCTTTGAACTCTCTCCACCTCCGGATGGGCTACCTCCTGTCACGCCACTGATACCATGCCAAGGCTTTTCCTTCCAAACACAATCCTGCCGCTGTTAGCTTCTCTTCCTCCGTCAACCTGTTGACCGCAAAGTAACGCT